CACCAGGGAGAAGCTGGGCTCTGTGGTGGGGGGGGGTTTCCCTTTGCTTTCAGGAAAGCCCTTGCAGCAGTGTGCGTGCCGCAGGAGGAAGGGGCAGGTTTCCAGGGCCGGGGAGATGGATGTGCCGTGGGACATGGATGTGCCACGGCCCCGGGAGGCTTTAGGGCAGCCTCACGTGGGGTTGTGAGGGTCACACACCTTTAACAACCCACGCAAGACCCGGGACACAGCCTTCCCCGTGAGACGTGGAGGGGGGAAAATCACAGGCATAAGCACGGCTTTATTTTCGCTGCGGGCAAAGCTGGATTTTGCAGGGTCTCCTCCCCAACCCCCAAGCCTCCCACCACAAGGCAGAGGGGGATGTGCACCCCGGGGACCCACAGGCCGCGCTTTCCCCTGCTCCGGGAGAGCAAAGCAAACAAGCAGCATCTTCTGTACCACGGGGAAGAATGAAGCACCACTCGGTGGGACGGGGTGGGTTTGGAGGGCGATGGATGCCACGCGGGGTGGGGCTCCCCGGGGTAAGCTTGGTTGCCGGGTTGGGAAAACCCCGCCTGTAGGACCAGGGCCACGCAGCCAATAAGCGCGGCGGCCCGGAGTGGAGTGATTCTGCATCACGGCTCAGGGCCCGCGATTACATCATGTCGGTCCTGCGGGGATGGCAGCGGGGCCACGTGGTTGCTCCAGAGTCGCTGAGACGTTTTCCTGAGCACAGGCTGGGAGGAAACCGCAAGGATGAGACAGAAAACAAACCGGCCCAGAGACGGTTGGGCTTTGGCCACCGAGCCAGCCGGGCAGGCTCACACGGCTGCAGCGGGCTTGGGTGGCTGCGTAAGGGCTCGCCGGAGGCACGGAGCATCGCCGTGAGCCACGCTGGTGGCAACGACAGGCTGTGGGATGTGCTGTGCTCCGGTTGCAGAGCCCAAATGCAGCAGCCCCAGGCACCCTGCATGGAGCATCCCCCATCCTGCTGCCCCCTCGCTGAGCTGGGTGGGGTCCCCCAAAACGCTGTGCCCCCCAGACATTTGCCGCCTGCCAGCACACCTTAACCCCGCGCTGAAAGCAGCCCTGCCTGCCCAAGGCTTCGCTGACATGCCCCGCTCCCAGCCCTCAGCATCCCTCATGCTCTGGGATTTGTTTTGCGACAGCCAAGAGCGGCGTTAATCATTAATTCGTGTCGCAAAGGGCTTCACAGCCTCTTCTCTCCTTCATTACCTGTAGCTCCGCTTTGTCAACTTATCCCTTCCTGCGCCATGGCCTGGGTAAACACGCAGCCAGGCCTGGCCGCACTCCAGCGTGCCGCACAGCCCCTGCTCGGGGTTTATTTACCCCAAGGTGAAATGGGAAAAGGGAAATGCACGTGTGGTCACTTCCCATTCGCACCGGGAGGGATCCAAACTTGGTGCCCGATGCTGAAAAGCAGTGATGCGCAACCTGTCCGAGGCTCAGCCCGTACCAAGCCCTGCGGCGTGCCCTGTGCCGGGGCTTGGCCGCCTGCGGTGGGGGCCAGCGATCTGTGGAAGCCCCCAGCCCGTGCTGGGAGCCTGCCCGGTCTCTGCAGGAGCCTGGGCAGGTTTGGAGACGGAAAGCTCATCAGGGTTCACAAACCCAGGGAAGCTCGGTTTGGGGAGCCAGGTGTCATCAGCAGCTGGAGGGGCACACATGCAAAATGTCCCCGCATGCACGTCCTGCTCTTACCCTCTTCCCTTTGCACCCACTTTGCCCCCTTTTGGAGACAGAATTTGGGGTTAGAGGGATCTTTGCTGCGGAAGAGAGTGTGGTGCAGCCCCCCCGGAAGGCAGCAGACCCCCGCTCTGGCACCCTTATTCCTGCACAGCACTGGAAATTTATGAGCCAGTGCTTTTTGTGCGATTTCTGCTCTGTCAGGGCAGCGGTAGCTCCGCACCTTTCTCAACAGAGCCAGGCCATGAACCTACCCGAATATATCCCCCAGAGAGTCAGGCACATGATCAGTGTGTGGTGCAGCCCCCCCGGAAGGCAGCAGACCCCCGCTCTGGCACCCTTATTCCTGCACAGCACTGGAAATTTATGAGCCAGTGCTTTTTGTGCGATTTCTGCTCTGTCAGGGCAGCGGTAGCTCCGCACCTTTCTCAACAGAGCCAGGCCATGAACCTACCCGAATATATCCCCTAGAGAGTCAGGCACATGATCAGCGCGACGGCAAACAAGCCGGGGCAGAGCTGGGTTTAATGCATGCTAATCTGCAGCTACAAGGAGGGGAAACCCATCTTTCAAGCTGCTCCACACACACCTCTTCCCCAAAGCAGCTTTTAAACCACAGGCCATTAGTTTTAATCTCCGCGTGCAAGATGGAGGGCACCATTCTAACAAATTGGTTTGGTTTTGGCTGAAGTAATGCCATGTCACTTCTCCAGGGTTCCCAGATGGCTGCTCTTCATCTCCTCTGCCTATCAAAATCACCGTCATAAATGAGGATGTTGGAACAAATTCCTGGCCGATGAGTCAGGAAAAGTCGCCCACTGCATGGGCTGGGAGCATCACCTGCACTGCAGTGCACAACAGCTCCTGACCCGTCACTTCCGAGGTCACCAGGGTGGGTGATGTGCAGTTACCCTCCAAGGACCACCTGGGAAGCCCTGCAAGGTGGGCAGGTGCCTCACCAAGCACCCAGGTTGTCACCTGCATGCCCGTTTGATGTTAGCCTCAAAAGATCTGCTGAAGATTTAGTGGGGAACGATTTACCAACAGTGGCAACACACCGCCGTGCCCAGCAAGACCCACGTAAAGACACAAAGAGCATCTTCTGCTGGGGACAACCCCTCTCCCGGTGAGAATACCCGGGCCTCTCTCATTTGGAGGAAAGCGAGGATTCCCAAAAGTCGTGTTTTGACACCTGAGGGGCACCCGAGGGCAGCTGCAGACCGTGCCCGTCTCCCGCGCTCACTCGTACCGTGTGTTCGGGCCGGGCAGCGAAGCAGAGCGAGACAGCACCTGCGAGACAGACGGATACCATCCTCCAGGTCACACTAGTAGTGTATTTATTGGAGTATCTCACATGCAGGAACCAAAGTAGAGATGATTTCTGGAGCAAGTTAAACAATGGCAGATTAATACAGTTGTATCGTCCTTAACGTAAACACTTTCTACGTGAATACAGCGACATTTTAGTGTTGGGTTTCTTTACTTTTTGTGTATTTTGTTTCTCTTTACATAGTCAATCTCTTTAAACAGTTATGTCCCCCTTCTCCCCCTACCCCGTTCCCAAACAAAAAAATATCCAATATCTTCAGTAAATAAATATTATCCACTTTTTTTCTGGAAAGCCTACAGCTGTAATATACAGAGAAGCTATTACACAGGTTACATTTGTAGGGCTAACGATAGCTCATAATAACATGTACAGAATGAGGAGCTCGTACTCATAAAAACACAGAGCAGGGTGGGAGGTTTGGCGTGGGTTAGCCATGGGCTAAAGAGAACCAGCATCGGAGCTCGAAACGCAGCCTCGCCTCTCCCCTGGATGGAGCAGCAACCTGCTGCCAGTGCCCGGGGCACGGCGTGGGGCGGCTGGGGCTGGCAGCCTGGGGAGGGAGCAGGCAGACGCAGCCCACTCTGGGGGCTGCGGTTTGGGAGGGACGAGCGGAAGGTGCTGCGTGGGCACCAGCAACACCTCTGGGCGCCTGGCAAGGGGGTTCCTGCCTCCTCTCCTCTGCTGGTGGGCAAGGGCGGGTGGGTGCCCCCAGCAGCTGAAGGGTTACCTCCAAGGCAGCTATAAATCCACTCACTGATTGCCTGCTTCATTATTTCCATAAAAATAACTGTCCTGAGCTGTTTTTTTCCAGGGTAGGCTCCGCAAGCCTTGCGGTTAGCATTTAGGAGGTAAACAATGACTGAGCTGGACGAGGCTGGCCTGGGGATGGAGATAGCACAAGCAGCTCCCACTCCACAGGACTCCCAGCAGCCGCAAGAGACCTGGCAACTCATCGGACGGAAGAGACTGTCGACAACGCGGCTGCGTTTGCTCTCCCGGTCTGCATGTCCTGTCCTCACGGGTGAAAGCAGGAGAGCATTGAATAGAGAGGAACAGGAACAGGGCTGTGTTGGCCGGGGTGCCGGGGGAGCGTGGGCCCAGCTCCTGTGGCAGCTTACGGAGGGCGGACCATCACCCCTGCCCTGGGTCTGAAACCACTGCCCGGATCTGTTCTTCCACCACTGGAGGGAAACATCTCGCCACCACGTCCAGCTCTGCTGAGTCCTCCATTTAAAAAAGTGGAAACAGCCAATGTATCCCACAAAAAAAAAAAAAAAAAAAAAAAAAAAAAGCCGAACGAAGTCAAACGAACAGAAACCCCCACTAAAATCCTTCTTCAGCTTGGAGGTGTAAAAACAGCGCTGGAAATGGCAGAGCTGATTTGACCAGCACATTTCAGAGACGGAGGCTGTGATAATCAGAAGGGGAAAGGTATGTTGGAGGCTACGTGAGGGTCCCAGTAAGGACCAGTCTCTGCTTTTATGCTGTTCCCTTTAAGAGACACCGTGCTACGTTTTTATGAGCAATTCTCCTATGAGCTTTACCTACATGCTAAACACCCTAAACGTCTGTACAGCACATTGTTATCTATTACACCTGCCAAAGATGCAGCTGAAATCTACACATAACAATTAAAAAACCCCAAAGGATATATTTAAATAGAAACCATTCATTTCTTACATCTCAGCACATGAAGGGTTAATAGAAGAGGTTAAAAAACACACTGGAAAGAAAACGATTTGACAAAATAAATATTTTAACCTAGAATAGGATATTATTAGAACTTACAAAGGACCCCAATAATAATTTAGTGTCATCGAGTGTCAAGCTGTGATTCCTAGTACGCCTAGAAAGCCTTGGGATGTTGTTTCTTACGGAAAGTGGATCAGGCTGCAGCTCCATCCCTCTTCTCGCAAGCGTCGGAGCCACGCACGGCCTCTGCCCACTTGCACAGAGGAAGCGCTTAGAGGGAAAGCCAAGGAAGAATAAATCAAGAGGTTGGTCTTCTGAAGTGAAAACCCCCTTCCCTTTCCTTCAAACAGTTTCCACCGCTCAGGTTTTCTGCAGACCACAAGAGGATGGGGAAGATGAGAGATCCTGATACAGGACATTAGGGAAGCTCTAGCGTAGCTCTTACATTTGTTAAAGAAGGTTTGAACTAAACCACCCGTTCTGCCGCACGCTCTGTCCCCTTCAGTGCTTCCAGCCCCCACGTGCTCAGCCTGTGAAAGCGAGGTCTGGTGGATTTGGGCTCCAAATATGACTCACGGCAGGGATGCGCTTTTGCCAGACCCATCAAGGGTCCCACCAAAAGGATGTTCAGCCATTGCCACAGGCTGAGCACACGCCTCCCAAGGCAGGCATCTCCTGAGTGCTGCCCTACTTCCAGCAAAGCCCCTGCTTGTGCCGACAGCACCCACCACCCCTGCAGACGGTGCCCTTGCTTCCCAGTGCGTAACCCGGGGCATCAGTGGGGACCACGGAGCGCCTGAGGTTGCAAGCACAGCAGAGAGTCCCTTGAGTTGTGCCAACACACGCTCCTTATCTCCCCTCAGCCCCAGCCTTCTTGTTCCATCTCTTTTCCTCCCTGGTCGGAGGGAGCAGACATTGACAGCTCTGCAAGATCTTCCAGAAAGGGACCAGATTCTCTCTAAAGCAACAACCTGGAAGTCCCAGGACAGGTTTAGCATGACAGAAAGAAGAAGCGTTAACAGCACACGTACGCACACCCCCCCGTTTTGCTTCGGGGTGGGGGAAGAACGGCCAGCAAATCTGCAGCAGTGGGACTCTGCAGGGGGGCTCGGTGACAGCGCTGGCGATATCCTTGCCACTCAGCATCATTTGACAATGTCCCCACGCTTGAGCAATGCGATTATCTCCTCCGGCTTGGCAGGGAAGCTGGATTAACATGCTTAGAATCACCTGATGTGGCCATTTACAGGGTCAATGTGTTTCAAGGATTTAGAAGAGAAAATACACACTTAAAACACCCACAGAGCTTTTTGCATTGACAGGAATACCAACAATTCATTTTGTGCTGGCCAGACTGCTCAGGCAATCATCAGACACTGTCTGAAATCAAATCAGCATCACAACAGAAGCTTCCTCAGGTTTCTGGGAGCTGGTGGCCACATCTGACGTGTTGCAGAAAGGCAGGGTCTGGCAGCCAGTGTCTGAGCATTGGGCTCACCTTGTGTTAAACAGCGAGGGCAGTGGGCGAGAGCAGCAGTGCATACATGCAGCCAGGGCAGAGTCCTGGCACTTGCCATTAGCCACAGAGAAGATGAAATGGAGATGAGCCCTCTGCAGATGCTCACAGAAGGGCTTCAACCGGGGAGAGGGCCAGCAAGTGGGGAGAAGAGGCAGCTTGATCCCCAAGCTATCGCCACGCCTACACTAATTTTGTTTGCACACTTGCAAGCTGTGCTCCTTTCTGCGCAGCGCAGAGCTGACGGGGAGCAGTGAGCTAGGGAGCAGCGACCGGGTGCCAAGTCAGCGCCAGGGGGTGGCAGGGCAGCTTTGCCTGGGCCCAGCTACATACAGAGGGATGCCGGAAGAGCATGCAGGCAGGGCAGGACAGAGGAGAGGATTGAGCAGGGACAGCACAGAGTGACATCTGACCTGGGACGGCCTGAAAATCCTGCACGAAACAATGCTTCCCTGTGAAGATTAATGTGACTGCTCTCAAAGACCATCAGTGCTGCAATCGGGCCATTTGGTAAAAGGTTTTATGTGTCACAACCTACCAAAGCGTGGCGTACCCTAGAGAGTGTGCTACGAGCTGAAATAACTATGCTCAGATAAAAGCTTCTATCGCTTTCACATCAGCTGTTTATAGCACGGCTTCTTGGTCTAGAACAACTTCTGAGAGAGCTCGACACGCATCAGCATCCCGGGAAGCTCAGACATGCCAAGTCAGAACAAAGTGGCTGGTTGCCTAAGACAACGAGTGCCCCGAGGAAGAGGGGCTGGAGCGCTGCTGAACGGAGCGCTGCTTGCATGGGTGTTCATCTGATAAAGTGCCTCTCTGTCAGGACAGGAGATTCTCCCTGCCACGCAGCGTTCAGCTCTCTCTTTGATCCTGCCATCTTGCGCCACTGGCTTCCTACCAAGGAACGTGGTGGGGGATGCAGCAATGGCTGGAGCTGCCTGCTCCAGCTCTGCTTGTCAGCCCAGCAAGGCAAGCACACATGCTGGAATCCCTTCTGGCAGCTCCAGCAAGAGCAGCACTCTCGGCCATGCCTCTGGCAAGCAAGGGAATATGCTTGTTTGCGCAGACAGGAGAGAGACTGCAGCCCTGTGGGAGCTGGGAGTTAATAAAGGGGCAGAGGTATCGACAACACTCCAAAAATTACAAATAGCACGGCCACAATCATCCAACACTTTCTCAGGCCCAAACCTAGAAGGAAATGAGGAATTTTACCTCCAGCACAGGCAGGCAGGGCCAATCCCTCCACGGTAACCATCTCCCTCGGCATTTTTATACAAGCCTCTGTGAGGTTTGCCTCTTTTTCTCATACCACCAAGAACCAGCACGTCTATCCTACCAGGCACGGCAGGGAATCCAGGAACCTCAGCTCACACCCAGTCCACGAGCAAGTCCCATCCATCTGCATGGATGTTATTTACAACAGCTGAGACAAATGCAGAGCTCTACAGTCACTGAAGAAGGAATCTAAGGTAAGGAAAAAATAACCTAGCTATTTTAAAAGGCAAACACACTAGAAAAAAAAAACCCTCATGTGAGAATGCTCTCCCAAAGAGCAAAATGCTTCATGCGCTAACGTTACAGCATCCATTTAGCTCAGCGCTTTTCGTTCTCGTCAACTGCCAGAGCTACTGGACGTGGCCAACAGACTGCTTTCAAATTAGAGCAAGCCCAGATAAAACACAAGGAAAAAAATACCCTGTGAGGTTTAGAATATGAAGCGCCGCACAAAGTGGGGAAAAGCGACCACCATATGGTACCAGGAGATGTGTGAGTGGGAGAGTAAAGGATTTTAACTTGTGAAGCACATGTTGAAAGGGGAACAGTTGTTCCTTGCTGTCGAATCCGACACGAAAGCCAATACATTAACATTTTATCTAAAAATAAAGACACTCTCCTCCTGAACATTCCAGCTCAGTCAATTACATGCTGATCGACAGAGCAGTCTACTTGGCAGGACCTGCCTACAGAAGAGGATGATCCCTACATAAATTGAAGGGCAAGGCTGCTCTCTCCCCTCTGGGCTTTTGTTTCAACACAGTGTGACGTACTCATGCATTCTAAAGGGGTTTTCAGCATCAAGAGCTGGTTCTGCGCAGCTGGGATAGGAAGGAGGGGATTAAGCGAGTGTGCTGGAGAATCGTGGTCTGGCAGGAATAGTGTTGGACTTAAATAGAAAGAGTCAGCTTGTGTGGGTGGATTTTTCTGGGGGGGGGGAGGAGAAGCGATCTATGAAATCGGGGGGAAGAGGGTTGTTGTTAGCCAAGTACTATGGGAGGACGAAGTGGCTGTACAGCGACATTCGCCTGCAGAGCACGGGGGTGGGAAGGCGGCTAAGAGCAATCTTCACAGTGCAAAGAGAGCATCCTCCGAACGCTCTTGCTTTTTCCTGCTGGAAGGATTTGTCGGAGGGGTAGGGGCTTCCAGGGGAGGGGATGGCAGATTGGGAACCATCTCCGCCGCTTTGGCTCGCTCTTCTAAAAATTTGTCAAACTCTGCAATGCAAAAAACAGAAGGAACACAGGTAAGAACTGGAGCTGTACGTTTAGCCCCGGGGACGACAGAGGTTAGCAGGGTCTGCAATTCCAGTGCCTGGTGTCCCTGTTGGGCTGTGTTCACAGGCACGCATACTTGTACAGCCTGACTTCCTCAGGAAAGGGTAGAGAGGTCCTTTGAGACACCCTAGCTCAGGCAGCAGAGGGAAACAAACCCACGCTACCCCATCGGCTGCGAGAGAAGCAGGGAAACATCATTCCAAAGGGCTGAGCAGCTTGGGGGGAAGGAAGATGGCAGGAAAGCACTTACAGCCAGGAGGGCTCCTCGCACCATAAATACTAACTTTTTGCTCTGAAATGTTCTCTTCCCGCCTTTCTGACTGCAGGAGCATCTGCTGGGGAACATCAGGCTGGGAGAAGTCAGCATCTCAGCAGGGATCAAAGCAGATAATTCAGTCTGCGCACTAACCTGGGAACGGCTCATAGCCACAGGCATCTCTGCTTACCTTCACTGGTCACTCCTTCTTCCAGTTCGTCTCCTTTCTGCAATTGGAACAAAAAGGCGTGTGAACACACAGGCAGTGCTTCTCCTTCGCTATTATCCTCTACATACATTTAATGCAACTGGACAGTTTCCACCACTCGTTTCATTTCCACATGCTAACTATTTGAGCAGGGCGACCTGGGGAAATCGCACGGCTCCCACGTCGGGAGGCCAGCGGTGACTGACATTTCACTGCACTGCAGAGCAAGAGGATGAGCACTAGAGACGCTTCTTCCCCCAGCTAAGCTTTCCCCATTGGACCTGAATAGCGCTCCAGTGCTGTTTCCATTTCAGACAGTAGGCCTGGTCAACAACTGAGCTGCGTGAGTCACACAAATACCGTACAAGATGCCATCTTTTGTCACACAGTCCTTTAAAAAGTCAGGACTGCGGTTTGCATTGAGCCTTCAAATAAAATGCACTTTTAGCTGACAAAGGACACATGCCGCAAAATAGTTTGGGGCCAATGTTCCTCCTGTGGGAGTTCATTTTAGATTTCGTACAAAAATATAGTAGCTTTCCTGGCGTCCATGCTGTACAAAGACCAGACTAGGGTGGGCTGGATGAAGGATACTGATGGGTGGATACCATCTCTCCATGAGATACAGGGACTGGGATGCCACAGGGTCAGTGCATTTCTACCAGCTGCGTGCATTTCACCATGCGAATTTCCAGTAATAAGGAAATGAAAGCCCAAGGATGTGGCATCCTTATCAGTCTATCAGGATGTTAAAAATGGACAAAAACACTACTTGAAAACCTCGTGTTGAGCCTGCTTTGAAAAAAAAAGAAAAGTATTTGTCCATGCCCTGGCTTCTCCACCAGGAAGAGTGGGAACATACCAATTGGCCTCACAATGGTGTTTAATGCCTGAGAATTAAATGCCACCTAGCATCTACTAGCTTTCCACCACACAGAGGTTTCCAAAGGTACACACAGCAGCCACTGCTTCACCTGGAGAGGTACTGTTTGTTCCAATGTACCCCCAAAAGGGTAAGGAAATAAATAACGATTAGCTAACCTAATCTGTAATTTTCTCAGCTGGGAAGCAGAGAACTGAAATGAACCATTAACAAAAAAAGGAAGGGGGAAACCCAGGCTGAAAAACAAAAATCGAAACTTTCTCAGAGGGCATCTCTACAGTGCCACACATATCTCTATAGCCTGACCACAGATGGTCAGGATGGGGACCCAGGTACCCGGGAGAAGGGAAGCCGGTGCCGTCACGCCACAGGACGTGCAATCCCCAGGCTTGCTCAGGCATTTACCTGGCACTTCTCTGCTTTGCTCTTTTTGAGTAAGGCTATATAGGGGATGAGAGATGTACAGAGCTACCTTGATATCTCTCCATAAGATCTTCTCTCCTGCGAAATTAATTTAAATGGCAAAGATAAAAGTTTATTGTTTAAGCAGAGTGAATATGCTACTTTTACTGTATTTCTTTAACAAAATGAGGCCAGTTTGTAATTAAATTTGAAAGTGACTGCCTGTACCGAGGCCTGAAAAAACTACCTGCAGCCGAAAACCAGTGGCATTTCAAAGACAGCCAGTCAGCCTGCCAAACTCGAATACTGAAACCCAGAATCTGTTGAAGCACTTCAGGTGGCTTTGGAGAGCAGGAGCATTTTCATCCTTTCAGTACAGCTAGCTCCTCTGGTGCCAGAGCAGAGGGCTGACGTGCCAGAGCATGCCTGCAGCGCCACTGCCAGAGCCGGGGAGCAAAGCCTGAACCCTGCAGCTCCCAGCTAGGAGCCCAGTGGGCAATAGCAAGGGGCTGGGGGAGACCTTAAGGAGTAGGGAGTTATCTAGGGACAATACCTGAAGTTGGAAGAATGGGCAAAGACGATCCTTAGGGATATGGTGACCACAAGGAAACAGTTCAGTTTGCTAAAACCGTGTTTAAAAGAACAGACTGAAACACAGCCCACCACCCGTCCCCTAAATGCACTTGGTTAATTTGAGTCAGATGCTTATATTAAAAAAAGAGAGTGGAATAAATGCGTACTAGCTGTACCACTGCTTAAACCAAACGTGTATTGGTACAGCAAAACAAACTCCAGAATGAAGGAAAAGCTAATTTTAGTTCTGTCACCTGTTTGTTTGTTTAATAATTACCAGACAATAATAAATACCAGACTGAGGAGAAACTGAGAGTTATAAACATGGAAGAGAGACTGTTAGGCTCATAGCCACAGGCATCTCTGCTTACCTTCACTGGTCACTCCTTCTTCCAGTTCGTCTCCTTTCTGCAATTGGAACAAAAAGGCGTGTGAACACACAGGCAGTGCTTCTCCTTCGCTATTATCCTCTACATACATTTAATGCAACTGGACAGTTTCCACCACTCGTTTCATTTCCACATGCTAACTATTTGAGCAGGGCGACCTGGGGAAATCGCACGGCTCCCACGTCGGGAGGCCAGCGGTGACTGACATTTCACTGCACTGCAGAGCAAGAGGATGAGCACTAGAGACGCTTCTTCCCCCAGCTAAGCTTTCCCCATTGGACCTGAATAGCGCTCCAGTGCTGTTTCCATTTCAGACAGTAGGCCTGGTCAACAACTGAGCTGCGTGAGTCACACAAATACCGTACAAGATGCCATCTTTTGTCACACAGTCCTTTAAAAAGTCAGGACTGCGGTTTGCATTGAGCCTTCAAATAAAATGCACTTTTAGCTGACAAAGGACACATGCCGCAAAATAGTTTGGGGCCAATGTTCCTCCTGTGGGAGTTCATTTTAGATTTCGTACAAAAATATAGTAGCTTTCCTGGCGTCCATGCTGTACAAAGACCAGACTAGGGTGGGCTGGATGAAGGATACTGATGGGTGGATACCATCTCTCCATGAGATACAGGGACTGGGATGCCACAGGGTCAGTGCATTTCTACCAGCTGCGTGCATTTCACCATGCGAATTTCCAGTAATAAGGAAATGAAAGCCCAAGGATGTGGCATCCTTATCAGTCTATCAGGATGTTAAAAATGGACAAAAACACTACTTGAAAACCTCGTGTTGAGCCTGCTTTGAAAAAAAAAGAAAAGTATTTGTCCATGCCCTGGCTTCTCCACCAGGAAGAGTGGGAACATACCAATTGGCCTCACAATGGTGTTTAATGCCTGAGAATTAAATGCCACCTAGCATCTACTAGCTTTCCACCACACAGAGGTTTCCAAAGGTACACACAGCAGCCACTGCTTCACCTGGAGAGGTACTGTTTGTTCCAATGTACCCCCAAAAGGGTAAGGAAATAAATAACGATTAGCTAACCTAATCTGTAATTTTCTCAGCTGGGAAGCAGAGAACTGAAATGAACCATTAACAAAAAAAGGAAGGGGGAAACCCAGGCTGAAAAACAAAAATCGAAACTTTCTCAGAGGGCATCTCTACAGTGCCACACATATCTCTATAGCCTGACCACAGATGGTCAGGATGGGGACCCAGGTACCCGGGAGAAGGGAAGCCGGTGCCGTCACGCCACAGCACGTGCAATCCCCAGGCTTGCCCAGGCATTTACCTGGCACTTCTCTGCTTTGCTCTTTTTGAGTAAGGCTATATAGGGGATGAGAGATGTACAGAGCTACCTTGATATCTCTCCATAAGATCTTCTCTCCTGCGAAATTAATTTAAATGGCAAAGATAAAAGTTTATTGTTTAAGCAGAGTGAATATGCTACTTTTACTGTATTTCTTTAACAAAATGAGGCCAGTTTGTAATTAAATTTGAAAGTGACTGCCTGTACCGAGGCCTGAAAAAACTACCTGCAGCCGAAAACCAGTGGCATTTCAAAGACAGCCAGTCAGCCTGCCAAACTCGAATACTGAAACCCAGAATCTGTTGAAGCACTTCAGGAGGCTTTGGAGAGCAGGAGCATTTTCATCCTTTCAGTATAGCTAGCCTCTGTGGTGCAATAGCAAGGGGCTGGGGGAGACCTTAAGGAGTAGGGAGTTATCTAGGGACAATACCTGAAGTTGGAAGAATGGGCAAAGACGATCCTTAGGGATATGGTGACCACAAGGAAACAGTTCAGTTTGCTAAAACCATGTTTAAAAGAACAGACTGAAACACAGCCCACCACCCGTCCCCTAAATGCACTTGGTTAATTTGAGTCAGATGCTTATATTAAAAAAAGAGAGTGGAATAAATGCGTACTAGCTGTACCACTGCTTAAACCAAACGTGTATTGGTACAGCAAAACAAACTCCAGAATGAAGGAAAAGCTAATTTTAGTTCTGTCACCTGTTTGTTTGTTTAATAATTACCAGACAATAATCACTGAGGAGAAACTGAGAGTTATAAACATGGAAGAGAGACTGTTATAAATTTTTATCATTACTATTATGAAACACGTCAAGATTGCTTGGCAATTTAACGAAGACTTCTCGATTTGAAAGGCATCTAAGCCCCGATCCAGCATCTCTTAAAAGCATGCCTCAACGTAAGCATGTACCGAATTCCTGTCAAAGCTAACACAACCTTAAACATGCGCTGTAAGTCCAGCGGAGAACACAGGTAAACTTCAGCAAGTTTAAAAGCTTTCCTATATGGGGACCAGAAACACAGGATTTCTGGAATGCATGCTATTCTGTGATGTTAAGACGGAGAATTGAAAATAAAACAACTCAGAAAAAAACATTTTGATTGAATTGCTGAAGACGACCTTATCTCTTCCTGCTTAGGCAGTGCCCTCAAAGGGAAATAAGCCATACAATTTGGAAGTTTCACTGCCTCCTGTTACGAGAAGCACCGGTAACTCAGCAATGCATTCAATGTTAGCCGTACAAGTGCTATTGCCCATGTGAAAAATGAAAATATAAAGAGTCTCACCAAGTCGGTACTGAGCCACTCCTCAATGTCATCCATGACAGAGGACTGTGCAACAGGGATCTAGGGAGTGCAGCGAGAGAACAGCAAGGCAGGCAAAAACCAAAACACATCCACAATCATGGCCACAGAGCGATGGAAAACGCCAGAAATAAGATTAAAAACAAAACAAAAACAAAGATGTAAGATGTGCTGGAAAAAAAAAAGGCAACAAAACATAAATGGCATTTCAAATAAAGAAACACTTGGAAAGGAAATTATGAACAACAAGGCTAAAAAAAACAAGAGAAAGATTATGGGGAATGACGTGACTTGATGCCAGCGTAAGTTGGGTAACTTCTCGACCACATATTAAAACCATCAAAATGGACTGATGATTCTAATCTTGATCGTGAAAAGTTTTTAAGGGTAGAATACTGGATATCAGTTAGGTTTTGAAATGTTAAATTTACACCTTTTATTTTTTTAAAAGGGGTACTGGTCACAGTGAAGGGTTAGCAAAAAGAGGGGCTCAAAGTCTTCGGGCAACACTCCTATGAAAACAGTTTGATTTTCTCCGCAGGTGGAGGCAGTCAGAGCCCAGGGTACACAGTCATGTTTCCTTCCAGATCCTCCTCCTACCCCACCACCGAGCCTTGGCAAGCCTCGGCACACCAGTTTAAAGCAAAACCATCCTGGCTCCCCGGTCCCACTCGTCTGCCAAAGGTGACCTTCTGGCAGCAGAGGCAGCGGAACCCAACGAGTGCCAGTGCAAAGTGCGGGGTCTCAAAGCTGAAGGGGAGGAGGAGGATGGGGCAGCAGCTCCTGGCACGGGCAGAGGAGGAGAGCACAGTGTGCACTTCTCTCGGCTCCAGCAATGCCTTGCAATGCTGCAGCAGGGCTCACCAGAGGCTGCCCACCAGGCCTCCACGGATGGTTTAACAAAAAGGCAGGGAAGGTTTGCCTCTCCTCCTGCGATAAAACCGCTCACGTTACGCTGTGCGATTGCAACAGGCAGCGCAGACGCAGCGCGCCAAGTGCTGAAGTGCAGCTATTTCACAAAGCGCTCCGGGCAACTGGGTCAGCGAAGGGAAATTACTGCGTATTAGGTGTAGAATTTCCTGACTTAACTACACTGCTTAAACACAACAGAGGGCTGCAGAAGTAAACAGGAAAACACCACAATAGATCTCATAAGGACAAGCTGAAAAACACTCGGAAAGCAATGTCAGACACGCAGGTTCCAGGCCAGAGCACGGCAGCTGAGCAGCGGGGCTGGCAGGCAAGAGACCTGGCGGCGCTGGAGAGGCTCTCCTAGGAAGAAAAAGTGTCAGGGGTTGTCCACAGCTTTGCCTGAAACCCCTCACAGGAAGAAGAGCTGCAAGAGGCTCTGTGGATGAATTTGCTGGGAGATGGAGTTTTCTTAGGGACTTCTAGTGGAGGAAGACAGATGCTGAATTATAGAGGCAGCAGCCCAGGCTGATGCTGTTTAGCGGAGCTCCTGAAGAAATTTTTCTTCTAAGCAAGTGGCCCTTTGCACTGCGGAGGTCAGTGAAGCCCTTGCTTGAGTTTAGGTCAGCTAAGGTGGGTTAGTTGTGTCAAAGGACTGGAAATCCAGGGCTCAGTCCAAAGCACCTCCCATCAAGGGAGGCACCAGGAAGATGGCTCGGCTCCAACTTTGGAGGTTGCTGGACAAACTGCACATGACAGATCCAAGAAGGGTCAGAAGTGCAAGTTGTCATTTTGCTTTCAGCTTATACATGAAGATCCCAAACAGAAAATAAGTTCCTGCAATTTCCTTTGGAATGGGCCAGATTTAGGATAATTGCCCCTTTTAAATTTGCAATGGAGAGGTTTATCATGCACGTACAACACTCAGGCAGTGTGCTGAAGCTGCTGCAAGCTGGCCCAGATGGCCATTAACGAGAGGAGGGCTCTGTAGACATCTTCCAACAAGTTCCTTCCCAAGGACAAGTTGCATCTTGTAGAACTGGCTTGTTAGCTTAACAGCTTAGGAAAATACTGGCTTCAGAGATACAAAGCAATGAATTTATTCAGCCTACAGCAATCTAAAACCTACTGCAGAAGTTTCACTGCGGTGTCTCTCCTGTATGGCTTAATACTCCACGTAGTAAGTAATGCTTTGGAAGGTGTAGCCCTCAGAGCTGTTGTTAGTTTGCGGCTCAGAAAGGTACTTACAGTTCTTTAAGAATGAGAAAATCTTTATGGAGGGGAGGAGGAAAATAGCAGGTTTTTTCGTTTTGCTGTGAATAAAATAAGAGCAGCTGTTCTAAAAAGTGTGGTGGTACTGCTGTCTCAGTATTAGGAGGAACAGCAATTCAAATCTTGGTTAGCCTGAAAACACAACAGATGACTGAGCCAGTAATGTATTCCTGAGAATCGCAGGACTCTTGAGTTTGCAGGAGCCCTTGAAGAACAGCTCAGCAGTATAGGAGTCTGTGCTGCTGTGTTTTGTAATATTAAAAAAAAAAAAAGGAGGGGGGGTGGTAAAGAAAAAAAGGAATTCTACTTTCAGACAGACCTACTTTATATAACAAACAAACAAAAACCTCAGAAGTGCAAGAACACTTCTCGCAGGTCATATACAAGAAGCAGAGAGAGCTGCAAGATAAACATTTGAGCGTGTCAGCTGTTTGCTATTCAGCACTGACCTTTTAAAAAGCTTCCCCCATCTTCCAGCACACTTACAGAAGAGCCAAGGGTTTGCATCTATTGCTCCTTCCACGCTCAAACTTCCAATTTACTTTCCTCAGCCTCTGAGCCCCATTTTCCCCGTAAAACATGGGTTAAATGTATCAGGTTTAATTTGTTCAAGAACAAAGAGGGGGGGAAACTCTCAAGAGTAACTGGAAGTTTTAAAATATTTTAACTATAACATTGTACCGTTTATATTTCATTTGAAACTGACCACACACAGAAGTTCATTTTTTTGCCAGTCAGTTGTGTTTTTGGCAAGTCTCCCGCTTCCAGAAGCACTAAACTGAAAAACGTGGAGGGGAGTTTTGTTAAAACTAATCCCCTAAAACACAACAGAAGCAATGTAAAAATAAATTAGCTAGTTTACACATTAAAAAAGACAACAGTTTCTGAGAACAAACAGCAGTGGCAGCCGCAGACTACATGGAAATGGCTCCGGAATGGGATACCGTCTTGTTAATACTTTGATTATGCAAACATACACGGTCGAGTGAAGCTCTCAGTCTTGGCAAGACAGCTCCCTAGATAGTCAGTGCTGGCTGCAAAAACTGTTTTTATAACGATATAGTGATTTCTTTTTTAAAAGTCTATACTCAAAGTAAATGGAAATTAAGTCACAAAATATTTTGGGGTACTTTAAGTAACTGGCTTTAATTAAAAGTTGGGCTCATTGTTCAAATTCCTTTTTCATTTAGTCTTTGGAAAATCCTACAAATGGGATCATCTCAACAGTCCTGAAAGGGAAATGGAAAAGGAGGGCTGGGAGAACAAAAGCAAGCGTTCAATCCCACAAAACCCACAGGAACCTGGAATTCAAGTTCATACTTATCTGTGTTAGACTGTGTTGGTGTTCTCACTAGCAATCAAAAGCCAAAAAGTATTGCCAATATATTTCCTCAGAAGTCATAAAATCCAATATTCTACCCTTAAAAAGACAGTTTGAGGTTATTATTATCACATTTTATTTCTATTAAAAAATGATCCCACTGGAAAAGAAGCAGGTATGAAATGACAATTCAGGTCTCTAGGTGAGCTCATTAGTGTTCTTAAAATGTTTAACAAGGTTCATGCTAATTGTTGCTAGACTACTGTCTCGTAGTAGCTTAGTTAATTCCACTTCTTTCTAGATGTTTAACAAAGCTGACACCAATACTTGGTTAGCTGCTATTCATTCCCCCCCAGTTAGTTAGCAATAGTAAAGAAAGCTCTGTCATTCCTCCGGCAGCAGAACTGGAACGCTAAGATGCACGCTAGCAGTCTACTCCAGCTTACTGCTACAGTCCTACCGTCTATTTAAAGCCGTTGCGATCTTGAAATAGCTGGCTGGCCTCAATATCAGAACACGTTTGACTTTACAGGTAAGGGTTGCCTTAGCTACTTGATTACTTGTGGCTGTGTTTACACGTCGCATAGATAGGGAAAGCAAGAGCTCAGGTATGTTCCCCAACACGGCCTGTTGTGCCCGTACAACAACCAGCCAGTCTGGAGCTGACAGGCATGTCCAGACAGCAAAAGCCTTCGTTCACGTGGGGTATCACATTGTCCTTGTAGAGTGCTCTGTAAAATGCCATGGCTGGACAGGTAATGAAATCCACGTGGTCTTCAGAACAAGGGAAAACACCTGCTTGCCTTCAAAAGAGAGAGGGGTCCCACCACACAGAAGAGAAGAGATCTTCACACATCTATTTCTCATCTTGTCCACAATTCAAGTGCTTCAGTCTCCAAGAAGATGACGTATTCCAACAGTCTCATGTTACCCAAGTCATTTCCACATCTTAGATCCTATCTCTCTATTGAAGGCATACGTAGCGGCATCCCACTTTGTTACTAATTAACATCTCAGCAAAGGCTTCATTTAATCTTTACTCACCTATCTTCACTACAGAGAGGAATCTCCTCTCTAGCCAGGCATGCTGCTGGTGGTCAGGATGCAATGATCAAAGCTGCTCATATCACTTTCTGTGAATTCTGGTTCCAGTTTCATTCTTCCCCTGCCACTGTCCCAGATAAAGTCTGTCCTGACACGGTGGCTTAAGCAACACCTGCCTCTCACTTTCATAACAAATATCCACTTGGCATGCCAGCGGGGTGACGGATTATTCTAACAAATGAATATATTCATGCAAATCTCAATAGCTACCCAAACCCATGAGAAGGGAACTGGAATTACCTGCACTAACACGTGGTGGCTTTATACTAAAGTCTGTGCCTAAGAGCTGCTGATCCAGCCCCCTGTATGACACCTACACGGCCTAACTTGTAAGAACCCAGACCTAACACCGCAAACAGATCTGGTACTGGCACAGCTCAGCTAACATCCCTAAGCCATGTTTAACCCAGGAACATTTTCTGCAGATAGCATTTTG